CCCATCACTTGGGAGGGAGCGACAACAGGTTCACAAGATAGACTACACAGCAAAACACTGCCTCCCAAGACAAAAACAAACAGAAACTCTAAAAGAAACACGTGTCATATGAAGATGACCACTCATATGTGCATGAAAGTGAACCACCATTAAATGAAGATCAGCGGAACCACCATGTCCCTATGGGCTTGCAAGAGGGCTACAGGAGCTTGCCTCCAGATCTGGCAACTTGAGTTCAATCCCTGGGTCCCACATGTTCAAAGGAAGAGAGTCAACTCCAGAAAGTTGTCCTCTAGCTAATCATCCTTCCCTTCCTTCCTCATAAACAAATATAGAGAGGTCATGGCTGAAGTGAGTGTGCAGATAGCAGAGTGGAGTGGCAGAGGCTGTTTGCAAGATGTAAAGATGATAAGCACTGCTGTCTACACAGGGACTCCCACAGAGTCGACTAAAAAGAGAAGAAATATAAATCAGCAAAAAGGAGATTAAAAAGCAACTCACAGATAGTGCACCTTGAATGCTGATCAACCTGCGAAATCTCACCACCCTTAGTGACCAGAGCAAAACACAGACAAAAGCCTCGAACTCTCTCCATCTGTAGCTGTCAGCACCCCCCCCCCAAAAAAAGGAAGGAAGGATGGAAGGAAGAAAAGTCTGACACCGCCAAGAGTGAAATGTGTGAGAAAACAGGAACCCTCACATGACACAAGTGAGACAGCTGCTGCTGTCCTCGTTCTGGAAACATCTGGAAGGTTCTAAGATGCACACCTGTGAGGGAAGTGCTGTCTGCAGGTTGTGTTTGTAGGAATCTTCCCACGGGCTTGGGAGCTGCTGAAAATGCAAGTGCAACCCTGTTTAGCGGGGTTTAGCGGGACCATCTGCTCATGTGATGTTGGGGTGATCATGGTGTGGCTGTAGTAAGTCAGAGACAACCTGAGTGGCCACCACTGGTAGGGTGAGAAGCCAGGGTGGACTTTTATTACAGAATACAGAGCAACAGTTAGAATCTTTGCCTCGAGGCATCATGAATCAGACAAAAACTGACTTAAGTGTTATGTTTTATACAAAACAATGCGTAATATAGTACTCTTGTAATATTTGTATAATATAGTACATAATATATATATGCACACACACATACATATATATGCAACACAAGTTTTGAAAAAACTAACACAAAGAGAATTTATATTAGCACATTAGCTACATTGCTACAGAGCAGAGAAGAGGCGGGCAAGAAGAAAGGTTAATAAAGAACAGTGCTTTATATGTTGGGAGACTTAGGTACCAGAAACTAAAACTTAATAAAAAGTTGTGGTGGTCAAGATAATGGTGTGTGTCTTCACAGACAATAACTCCCAGAATTAACCCATATACACAGCCAATTGATATTCTAACAATGGTCCGGACAATGCAGTGAAAAAAGGAGGAATTGAGCCTATGAGATGGCTCAGCAGGTAAAGGTGATTGCTACTAAAACCTGAGTTCAATCCCTACGACTCACATGATAGAAAAAGAGGACTGACTCCTACACAATGTTTTCTGACTTCCATACAACCATGTGGTATGTGTGCTCACATGAATACCACACACACACACACACACACACACACACACACACAAAAGCAGGCTTCTTACTGAGTCTCTGGTGAGGTGCCTCCCCCTCCCATGCTGAGTGAAAATGGTTCTGCATGGAGAGCAAGATTACCCACAGTTCACTGAGGCCTGTGTCTCCTAGCCTTTTATAGGCTGTGCATCTGGCCTGGAATGGTCATGACTGCAGCACAGCCTCCAACAGCAGGTCTGGTTCCAGCTGCAGCCCTGACTTCAGTGGCCTTTGCACCTGGAGTAGCATTCTCTCAGAGTGACCAGAGGGGAGTCAAAGCAGCTGTCATGCAGATAGTGGAGCCAATTGCCAAGGAAAGGACTACTTGGTTGACAGTCCCCCAGGGGCTCAAGGCAGCCAGGCACAAAGGAAGGGCCTGGGGCTGTCAATCAAGTGAGTGGCTAGTTCCTAATAGCTTAGTTTGTTTAAAGAAAAGAAAATCATCAGAGGAAAATCCACTAAAGGGCACACACAATAAAGACATATCACAAGCTAACATTCTCAACAGTACTTAACAACTGCTCTTCCAGAGTTGCTGGGCTCAATTCCCAGAACTCACATTGGGTAGCTCACCACTGTTTGTGAGAGACGACTTCTGTGGGTACTTGCACTCGTGTGACCACAAACACATAGACACAAAAATAAAAATGAATATATATCTATATGTATATGTATATATACACACACACACACACACACATACATATAAACTCTTGGCTTTAGGAAGAACTACATCCTGCTGATTTGTCCCATCACTAGAATTAATTAATTAATTGATTGATTATTAATTAATTAATTGAGTTGGTCCTAAAACTCACTATGTAGACCAGGCTGGCCTTGAACTCACAACAATTCACCTGCCTCTGCCTCCCAAGTGCTGGGATTAAAGGTGTGAGCCACCATGCCCAGCTCCCTAGGATTTCATAAACATTGCCAGGTTTTCCTCCACACCTACACACTGACTCCCCATAAAATGAAAGCATATGTTCATGCAAAGCCATGCACATGACCATTCCTAACCACTTTATTTGTAATAGCCCTCACACACTCACACACACACACCTACTTCACCCCAAAAATGATACAGAAAGTATATTCTGGAACCAAATGTGAGTGATGGAGGTTCAGGAATACTCACTTAGATTACCTCAAATTCTATGTTCCAACATGGTTAACAATTTCATATTTTTCTAATAACAGAACTAAGAAAATTTAAAAAATCAAGACTTTTTTTCAAGCATGTTGGTGGGAACATCAGTTAGATGAGTTCCAGAGCAATGGGCAATCTCAACTACAGGCCTCACATGCCATCTGGCAGCCAGTTTTAGCCATTGGTTTGGTGGAAGCTAGTGAGTGCTCTTTCTGTTTGCTTCAAAGGATTTACCTAACCATCACCAACGTGCTAGGTCACATACACAGAGAAATAATGGCTATTAAGAGAGTTGAAGATGATCAGGTTTTGGACTTACAGTATTCCCAACTCTCCAGAACCATTGAAGCTCCTAGCAGTTCTCAACCTGTGGGTCATGACACCCACAGGGGCCACATATCAGATATTTATATTGAAGCGCATAACACTAGCAAAATTACACTTAAGAAGTAGCAATGAAAATAATTTTATGATTGGAGGTTGTGGTTTGAAAGAAAATGGCCCCTTTGGAGTGGCACTATTGGAGGTGTGGTTTTGTTGGAGGAAGTGTGTCACTGTGAGGGTAAGCTATGAGGTCTCCTTTGCTCAAGCTACTCCTATTGAAACAGACAATTTCCTGTTGCCTACAAGTCAAGATGTAGGACACTTGGCTCCTTCTCCAGCACCGTGTCTGCCTGTATGCCACCATGTGTCCAACCATAATGACAATGGACTAAACCTCTGAAAATGTAAGCCACCCAATTACATATCTCTTGTTTATAAGTTGCCATGGCATGGTGTCTCTTCACAGCAACAGAAACCCTAACTAAGACAGGGGTCACCACAACGTGAAGGACTTTGTTAAAGGGTCACAGCATCAAGAAGGTTGAGAACCATTGCATCAGTTAATCAGTCCTGTAAAAGGCTCACTGGAAGAAGTAGTCCTTTTCAGGAACTTTCATTGTCAGTTGGACTTGGAAGGTTCTAGAAGACTCTAAAGAGAAAGGGAAGCCCCTTCCCAACAACTAACCAATACCCACCACCCCTTCCAGAGCTAAGGAAACAATAATTGTACTTAGCCATGAAAACAAAGAATTATTGGCACATGGAACACAGACCTGAAAACAAGTAAGCTGAGTATATACTATATGGTTTTATGTATGGAATTGTCTAGAAAATACAAACTACTCTAAAGAGCAGTGACTGAAAACAATTAGCTTAAGAGGAGCCCTGGAAGGAGAGGGTACCAGGTTGCACAAGGAAACTTCAGAACCCATGCTCCTTCCTAATCTTTATTGTGCCAATGGTTTCCTAAGAGAAGCAAATGTCTCACCCTGATACTGGAGTTGTTAGGGTCAGAGCCTGGACTCTGGCAACCCTACCAAGCCAGGCCTGGCCACCTGTTCTCTATATGCTAACTAAAAAGACAAGTCATCACAGAGGGACTGGAGCGATGGCACAGAGGATCAGAGCACTTACAGCTTGTGCAGATAATCTGAATTTGGCTCTCAGCACCCATATCAGCATTTAACTCCAGTTCCAATGGATCCAATGCTTGCTTTTGGTCTCCATGGCATCTACATGCATGCTGCGCACATAAATTCATGCACACACACACTCACACATAAGTACATACAAGTAAACAGATCTTTTTGAAAATTGAAACAGTGGAATGCAGAACAAGCTGGTGATTGTATTCGATATGGCCACGCTGGGAAGAGAAGCGAAGAGGTCCAGGATCCTCCAAGTCCATCTTCGAGGGCAGGAGGAATGCCTAACTAAGCAGTTGCAGTCAAGGAGTGGTCTGCAAGTTGTCAGAATGCTGTTAAATCTTTCCAGTACAAAAGTTTCTCTTCTGGCTCGCACCAGATCCCAGGCTTTTCCTTTTCCTTCTCCTAACAAGATTCCTAGGGAAATTCTGATTTTGGAGGGTCCATTGTTTCAATAGCCTGTGTCTCCCTGCAGGTATCCTCTCTCCTGGCAGGAAGATTGCAATGGTGCACTTCACCTTCGTGCAATTCAGTGTGTTTATCTGAGTGGCTTTTGTCTTTGTCGTTAATATAACAACAGGTCAGGCAGTCTGGCACTCGAATCCTCCAGCTGACAGGCCTTAGAGCGAGGAGCCAAAGTCTTTGCCCTGGAGCCCATCACTCAGCCATGCTTACAGAAAACAGGGCACTGGAAGGGCGTGGAGCAAGGAGGACACACGTTAATCATTAGCCGCCGGCGGCCGGATCTCTGCCCCGCCCCCGCGGCGGCCTGCTGCCTGCTGGCTGTTTCTCCCTCTGTGCGGCCACCTGCTACTGCTACCCGCCCTGGACATGGTAAGCGCAGGAGGTATGGCGGACTCTGAGCGCCGATCGGGAAATGGGGCGAGGGCTCCGATGCTGAGGGTGCGGGCAGTGCCATTGCGTCGGACTAGGGTCATTTTGCCCTCAGGGGTGTTGGGGTGCCGACAGGGGAGGTGGCGCAGTGGCGGCCCTGGAGAGACTGGTGCCTGGCCTGTCTCTACTGGAGCCTGGCCTGTCTGCTGGCGGCCGGCTGTGGCGGGGTGTGGCAGGAAGGCAGATCTCCGTGGCATGGTCCTGGCCCTACAGCCTGGCTGGTCCTTTGGGGCACTGGATCTGGTGGGGCTCAGTTCTCTCTGCACCCCAGTACTGTCCCCAGCCTTGCGCCCCGTCCTAGCACCTAGCTGGGATTCTGTGTCCAACCTGGGTGTGGAGACGGGCCAGGTGCTTTGGAAAGGGGTGCCCCAGGAGCTGCTAGACCCCTAAACTCTTCCCAAACAGCACAGTTCTCTGCACCTCCTTTGGAGCAGTTAGGGACAGGAGGGCATTTTTCCATCTGTGGCCTGGGAATGGTCACTGGGGACCAAAGACACAGACTTGGATAATCAGTAATCCTCTGGCCCACACTGCCAGAGGCTGACAGCTTTGCTAAGCAAACAAGGCCCTTACCCTTCTGACCCCAGAGTTCAGAGCGTTGTCATTCTAAGACTTGGAAGTTCTGGAAAACTCTGAAGAGAAAAGTACCACCCTCATCCTCCCCCACACCCCCTTACATCCCACCAGTTCACCTGTACCCACCACTCCTTTGGGAGGCAAGAAACAAACAAAAACCATTGGGTTCTGGTGCCCTGTTGATACCTGGTTACAAGGGCTCAGCTTATCAAACATCAGAAGGACCAGATCTGGAAAAGACCTCCCTATTAACCACAGTGCAGATCTCTGATGCCTTCTCTATAACCATCCCTTGTCAGCGCAGGAGTGATGAGGAGGAATCCCTTATTTCTGAGAGTGCACACACCAGTGATGGGTCTATAGGCCCCTGTGCTGGCCTGGAACCTGTCACACAGCGCTTTTTAAATGTTAGTTTGTACTTATGATCCCAGCATTGGGGAGGCAGATAGATGGATCTCTGAGGATCAATGGCCAGCCAGCTTAGCCTACTTGGTGAAAGAACTTGTCTGAAAAAATAAGGGGAGAGAGGGCTGCAGAGCTGCTCAGTGGGTAAGAACTGGCTTCTTTATTCCAAAGGACCTGGATTTGGTTCCCAGTACTTCCACGACAGCTCACAACTGCATGTGATTCCAGTTCTAGGGCATTCAACACCCTCTTCTGGCCTCTTCAGGCACCAGAATGTGAGGACAAAACACTCTTACACATAAAATAAAAACTTTTAATGAAACAATTTTTAATTAAAATAAAGGCAAATGATACCTGAAAATGACTTCTGATGTTATCCTCTGGCCTCTACACACACAATGCACACAACCACACAAACACATATACCAAAAAGCAAACAAACAAAAAAACACAAAACAAAAAATATAGGATCCAAGAGCCTATCAGTAAACCAGCCCAGACCCCAAAGACCTAAAGGTCTATTGCTTGCTACAGCCAGCACTAGCTAAGTTCCTCCCAAAGGTCTGGGGCATGTTCTTGACCTATAAAAGGACTGCCCTGGGGCCTCTGTTCTCTCTCTTCTAGGCTGGCAAGGCACACAGATTGAGTGCAGAGGAGCGGGACCAGCTGCTGCCAAATCTGAGGGCTGTGGGGTGGAATGAACTAGAAGGCCGAGATGCCATCTTCAAGCAGTTCCATTTTAAAGACTTCAACAGGGTATGTGGAGTTGGGGCTTACCAGGCCACTGTCTGTGTTCATGCCATGTCCTGTTAGGCAAGGGGAAATACATATCCAAGTGACCTGCAAAGAGAAGGGCCTTGGACCCTCCCTTCCTATAACTCCAAGTCTTTGAAGGATAGTCCTCCAAAGGGTAGCAAGCGCATGTTCTTCTGAAGGCACTTTAATACTGGAGAACTGGAGAATACTAACAGCCTATGTTATGTGCATCACATTGGGGATGCTGGTAACACTATCACGGGCCTCAGAATCGAGCAGGATGTCACAGGGGAGAGGAGTAAAACTCCAGAAGTTCCTGGAAGAAGCTAGGCTATCTTCCTGTATCTAGGCCATGAAGGTCTGGGTCTTCCTTCATTTTATCAGGCTTTTGGCTTCATGACACGAGTGGCCCTGCAAGCCGAAAAGCTGGACCACCATCCTGAGTGGTTTAATGTGTACAACAAGGTGAGTGAAGCTGTCCCCACCCACCCCCATTCTGCCCTGCCTTGCCCTTGTACATCTCTTAGAACCCCAAGTCTTCGTGAAGGTTTGCTCTTGGACCTGACTGTGGTCCAAGATGATGCCCACTTCTATCTATCCCCTTCCTAGAGCCAACAGAGACTCCTCACAGACAACCAATCTCACTGCTGACAATAAGTGCAAAGAAAAACACTTTGAATGATTGTGGTTAGGAAGGCAGAACCCAGGAAGGGAAGCCAAAAGGAAGGGCATACCAACTGTAAACAGCACCAATGGCTTTATTCTGGATGGAAGAATGAGAGAGCACTAAAACAGGACTCAGTTGTCTGTGCCAGGAGATCAGTCTTTGGAACATGCTAAGAGTTCTACTGAACTGTTTATAAAAACCTGAAGGATGTGTTTAGGAGCCCATCTTCCATTCTGATTTTAATGGTCTCTAAAAAATGTTTTTAAACATTTGTTTAGTGTAGCCTAAGGGCACATGTGTGCTGCACATGTAGAAGTCAGAGGACAACTTGTGGGAGTCTGTTCTCTCCTACTCTGTGGGTCCTGGAGGTTGAACTCAGGTTGTGAGGCTGGTGTCTTTTCCCACTGAGCCATCTTGTGAATCTGTTATACTATTAGTGAAATCATTGTTTTGGAAACTGACAAAGGAAAATGATGTGTACACAGCTTTGCACTTTTCTTAGAGCTGTCAGGAACAGTGACCAGTACTGTCTTCAGGAATGACTAGTGGCAAGTTTCTGTCCTCAGGACTTCCAGTGACTGACTGGCTGTTACCTTGCAGTCCCTGGTAGACCTGAGTGCACAGCTCATGCCTCTTGCTCTTTCTGTAAAGGCATTTGCCTGCACCTGAACTTCTGGTTTTCTCTCATTCAGGTCCATATCACCTTGAGCACCCATGAGTGTGCTGGTCTTTCAGAACGGGACATAAACCTGGCCAGCTTCATCGAGCAAGTTGCTGTGTCTATGACATAGATCTGCCCCTTTTCATATTTCCTGGGGAGGAGTGACCCAACAAGGATCCTAAGAAGGAAACAGGAGGCTGGTCCTTGGTCGCCTCCATTTAGGGATGAGTCCCTGTGCAGAAAGATGTAGGTGTCGATGTCAACAGCAGGAACTGAGACCTTTTCCTGTGTCACTCTCCTCATTAGGGCTCTGCCATGTTACACTAAGTTGAATAAGGTCTTCATTTTCTCCATAGGCTTCCCAGAAGCAGTAATGCTCTTTCCAGGCTGTATCTTGCTCCTTTTCTACCCTTTCTAGTTCATTTTTCCAAGTAGCTGTGTTAAAGCATGACATAAAGTTCAATCTCAGACCCCACAACTAAACAGAACCCACTATATTATGGAAATATGCTTTTATGCCTCCAATAAAACTATGCTATCAAGTGGTTCAGCTTCTAAAACCCTCTTTTCCAAACAGGTCATGCCACACTGAAATCAATTATATTATGTTTTTAGGGTTTTGATTTGGTTTTCAAGAAAGGATCTCACTGTGTCCTAGCTGTCCTGGCACTCAACTCTATAGACCAGGCTGGGCTCAAACTCAGAGATTCAGCCTGCCTCTGCCTCCGGAGTGCTGGGATTAAAGGTGTGCACCACCATCACCTGGGCAAACCATGTATGGTTTTGAAGAGTTCATTCTGGTTTTTGTGGCTCTGAGATCAAACCCAGGGCTTTGCACATGCTTGGCCAACATGAATGATCTCACTAAGGCCATAAGCCTGTCCCCAAGGAAGGGTGCCTGTATACCTCAGAGACCAGACTGCTGATAGCATCAGGAATAGGGCAATATGTGCATACAGCATGTGAACCTACCTCTAGAAAGTCAGTATGCAACCATGATTTTCTTCCTTCTGCTGTCGTGGCTAATTTTGTATGAATGAACCTAGATATGCCATGAGGTACCAGATTCTGTGTGCATTGGGGCAGGGAGGTTCTGGGTGAGGTTAGGCTTAGTAAAGCAGATTGCTGTAATACAGGTGAGCTTCGTTCAATCAGCTGAAGGCTTATATACAGCAAAAAGGCTGCCTATCCTTCACAAAGAACTTTGGACTCAATTGAGCTGGGATTATTAGTACTTTTCCTGACTTTATGGTTCTTGAGCTTTAGGCTGGAACTGCTCTACTTGTCTTCCATTATTATTGGAACTAGTTCTTTACCCAAAGTCCCCTTCTGTGTATATTGGTCATTTCTAATACCCTGCCTAATATAATGGCCTACATCAGAGACCAACAACACCTTAAGACTGACAGCTTCTGCAATTCTCTTGTCTTAGCAAAGGGCTTACCTGCTTTTACTCTACAGGGAGGATAAGGTAGTATGGGTGTTGATGGGCTATTTGCTACTGGAGCAGTTAGAGGCAGTTTACACAGGTCAAGTCCCTGGCTAGAAATTCACAAGAGTAGAAAATGCTCAAGTAACAAAATAGTTAAGAATGGAAGTCAAGCCCAATCTCATCTACACCCACATGTATGCTGTAAGACATCCAGAGCAGGAGACAGAGCAGCTGTCCCCCTGTAGTCCTCACCTATGACTCGGTCTGGAGCCTTGTCAGTCTAGGTAAACTGGTTCCTTCTGGGGCCAGAAGACACAGAGGGTGGTAATGAAAAATGAGCATGCTGTTGGGAGGGCTGCTGGGTCCTCCCCAGCCCATGCTAGTAACGAAATGGCAATTTGTCTGCACAGCTCAACATCAAGACCACCCAGTCTCAGACAGTGGCATCATCTGTTTCTTCAGCCAATGTTCCCAAGTGTGCTTGGATCCAACAACGGAGAACATGGAATAAAAAGATAGAAAACATGGAGGATGGGCTATGTTGTTAATGGTCTTCTTTTCCACTTACCATGGATCTGGATTTGAAAATGCCCACTTAGGCTCCAAATCTGTATGAGGCATATCCATCCACAAGTGACAGGCAACAGCTTTTAGAAACTAGTTTTATTCCCAGCCAACCCAGATCACTGAAGTTCTAGGGGAGGACACTAGACAGAGAAGGGGTGAAATGACAGTCACATGCAACATGCCACCATTACAAGGAAAGTCTGAATCTCCACAGCAAGAAAAGGCTGTCAAACTGGGCCTGATGGCACAGGCCTGGAAGCCACCTACCTGGGAGGCTGAGACAGGAGAACCAAAAATTCAAACCCAGTCTGGACAACTGAGTGAGAATCTACCTCAAAACTAAAAATACAAAAAAGGGCTGGGAACACAGCTCAGTGGTAGGACACCTACCCACTGTGCATAATGCCCTGAGTTCAATACCCAGTATCCCAGGGGAGGGACACTGTCAAAGCCGGACTTTTACCCACCCAGGCTATAATTGGGTTTTCTGGTGATCAGGGATCTGGGCCAATTGTTAAGAGTGTTTGAAAGCTAGTTGGTGTTAAAGCCAGGCTACTTGAACCACAGGAAGCCTTCTCTTCCTTATTCAGAAGAGAATGTGACACCAGCACTCATTCATTATCCAGGAGTGTTATAGACCCCCAAACCAAATGATGGGCTTTTGAGAGGCCAGACAGAGGGACCACCCAGATGGCTAATCAGTGTGTTCTGGCACATGTGGGTAGAGAGGAGGCCCTAGGGAACTATGGGCCAGGACTATGGATCTCCCTGGAGACGACAGTCCATACTGAAGTGCCCAGACATGATGGACACTTCTGTAGGTATGTCAGTTTCACCACCATAGATGGGGTGTATGTGGCAGGGTGGGGTTGGGATGAGGGACTGCTCACCAATTTCCCATTTGGCAACTGCTGTATTTGTGGTCTGTCTAAAATGAATGCAACCATCCAATGATTATAGTTTGGTACATTTAATTATTCAATTGTTTTTTAAGAGTTATTATTGCAGTCAGGAAAGGGCATGGAGATGATGGGGAGGTTAGAGAAGATAAAAGAGCTTTCAAAGAGGCAAGTACCATTTTCCAAATATAAAACTGGTAATATTAAAAGTGACATGGCAGTATATTCACAGTAATAACTATGACTAATATAGAAACAAGACAGTACAGTGTTTGCAGAAGCTACTGTGGCACCTACTAAGCCACATGATACTAGACATCCTACCCACCCCTGACACTGGCTAGGCATAGCATGGACACGCAAAGACACAAGCACAATGAAAGCCTGAAGTCACACTAAAGTTCCTAATCATAAAGTAGATGCAGCAGGTCCCCCTGGAAAACACCATCACCCCACACCAGTGCTGTCACAAAGGAAGGGAGTGGACAGCTCCTGGTTCTTCTGAGACTACAGAAGACCTGCCTCTCCATTTTAGGCAGTGGCAAGCCAGTGATGCCTGCTGGATGGTCCCTGGTCCTCTCCTGCATGATGTTCTGTAGACCCAGAGATGAGCCCTGCATAGCTCTAACCACTGAAGTGCCTGAGCTCAGCAACTTAGCCTCTTTCTGACACATGAGAGAATCAAGCATCCCTGCACCCCATAGTGCCCTGTAGAGAACACATGAGGGAAGTGCACATACACACTTGCCCTGCAATGAGCCAGCTACTAACAATTATGGGGTCAGAACAGCGCTGAGGAACACTTCCCAGCCTAGTGGTCTGGCTCTCCCAGCCAGCAATACTTAGGCTGAATACTCAGGAATCCCTGAGAAGGGGAGGGAACAGAGCAAGCTCCTGCTGACTTGTTCCACACACAAGACTGGTCCATTTCTTCCAGGGCCTGGGTAAGGAGTAAGTTTACACTCACAGCTGGGGAGAAAGGCACATAGTATGATCATCAGAGCAGGACAGGGGGCTCAGCCTACATGAGAGCCCCCATCCCTGAAAAGAGGAAGCAAGTGGGAAGTTGGCATAGGGGTTGGTCCTGTCCCTGTATCATCCTGGGGAAGCAGTCTTATGAAGGAATCTCAGGCCCCAGGAGTAATGGCTGCAGCCATGCCTTTCTACTCCAAAATGCTTCTCTCATTCTATGCTACTTCCATTCAGCAGGGGCTGAGGAACATCTAGTACCTGAAGCTAAGTGCCATTGTACCTTTGGAAGCTGAATAAGGGGGAGGGGGCAGGAAGAACACAGTGATGGAGAAAGTGTCCCCTGCATGTCTTCACACCCACTGAGGAAAGTCAAGGACACTTGGGGAGTGTTTCCTTCAATAAAAACAGATTATCATTACATGATAGATTAAGGCAATGTGGAAGAGAAGGACCACCTCCCACATGTGCACACAGGTGCTTACCTGTACTATTCAAGAAAATAAGGAAAGGGTCTAGTTTCGGATCATCAGGCCCAAGAGAGGGCTTGGGTGTGATCTACCCCAGGGAGGCAGCACCACAGCCAAAAAGCCCTAGACTCTCTGAAAACATGTTCTTTTCTCACCCTACAGAAGTAAGAACAAACAAGGGGGGAGTCTCACTGCCAACAGGCTTCTCCAAAGATGGGAGCAACCATGGTCATGCACAGAGACAAAGGAGCACTCAAACCCTGCTAGGGAAGCATGCTCTAGTTATGCCAAACAGGTCAATGACCTGGCCAACCTGTGCTTGGAAAAGTCAGCAAGCTGCAGTAAAAGTGACCCTGAGAGACAAATGACATCTCCTGAAGCAGAGGCTGAAATCCCCTCCTGCTTGGGGCATAATCAAACCACCTGGGGAACACAGTACATAAATGCCTCCTGCCTGACAGCCACAACATTCAACTGAGGTAGCAAAGACATGCTCTTGCTATCTCACACTTTACCTAAGCAATCAAAGCAGGTCAGAGTCACCACAAATGATTAAGTGAAGACGATGCCAAACACGTTAGAGAAGAATATGGTTAAAACAATTTCAAGGGTAACATTTATAACAAGGGCAGACTCATTATGCAGTGGAATCCTTCAGGGTCTTCAAATTAAAAGCCACAAAAGGAAACAAAAGGAGTCCTGAGGCTGAAGCTATCTTAAGGTTTATCATATTGTGCTCTAAGGAGCAGGTCCAGACGTCAAGTTGTGTGTGGTCTGTTCCAAATGCCAAGAGCCTTCTGAAGGCCTGAAGCTCCATGGAACTAACAAGGGTCAAAGTTCAGCGGGGCTTTGGAGAACCATTCATCTGGCTTCCCTGAGTCACAGGGTCTGTACTGTAAAGGCTGTCCAAGAAGACGGTGGATATTTCTGTAACCAGATTCCTGTCAATGGTTGCCTGGGCCATGCCGTAGATGGCACCCTGTAAATCCAACCAAGGACATATTAGTGATACAAGTATAGCCACCATTCATATGCACCCAGCACCCATTCCTAGCTTAGGCATCCTATCCTTCCATCATAAAAGCAGCTGTCATGCGTTGGTTTTCACAGGTACGTTCCAACCTGTCTTTCCAAGAAAAAGAACTACTATATGGTATTTATGGTTACACACACACACACACACACACACACACCCAAGTGCACACAGCCTTTTCCTTTGTCAAAAGTTTCTTTACAAGCAGACAGGATGAGAGCTTCCAGCTTCATTCAGCAGCTGCTGGTCCCTACCTCATCTGAGAGATCCAACAAGAAGGGGTAGGGACCAGCAGCAACATATTAACTGTTGAGGAGAGCTTGTGTGCACTGATCATGGGCAGAAACAGACTCCAAACAGTCTGACTACTTCAGGTTCCCACACAACTCCTAATATTTCTAAGTGGAGATGCCCTGGTATCCTTACCATTCCTGTGGTCTTGGCTTTAGGGTTCTTCATGATTTGTGTGATCGATTCCCGGATATCCTTTAGGAACTGGATGGCTACCCGCTTCCGAGTATGTACTAATGTGATGCAGAAGTGAATGCTGCAGAAGAGAGAGTGCAGGGACAAACTCTGAAATAAAGCCAGCCCAGTGGAGGGGCACACTGGCTCACTCTCCCAACTGCCTCTGTTTCCAGTCCTTGGAATCAGGCTCTCAAAGCCATAGGTTTTTAAGTGAGATCAAGGTTTACAGTATGACCAAGAACCACCTAATCAAAATGAACACAGCTGACTGCTCCGTCCTGTCCCCATCCCATAAACTGTCAATAGTGGCTCCTTAAATCATGTGTTCGAGCAATGAAGCCTAAGGGGCTTTCTTCTTAGAGGGTAAGCCTTGGTAGGGAGAAAACCACAGAGCTGAGGCTTGAAAGATTTCAATGCTCTTAAGAAACCCTAGCTCACTCTGGGGAAATAGGGGTCGGCAATGATTATAACCTGTGGAAGGGAGGCCGTAGATATGAGAACAAGCAGCCTGCATGATCAGAAACCTTTTATAGGGCTTTGCATGAAATAAAATTTATCCAGGTAACTGTAACTTAGAGAAGCCAATTGACAGCTCTGAACAAGATGGATCATAGACTACAGAGGCCAGAGAAAGAACAGAGGGAAACCTGACAAATGACAACTTGCCTCAGGAGGTTGGCAGCTAGTTCTACTAGAACATAAATAAAACAAAGCATTTTGTTCCTTCTGTGATGAACTCCAGTTGCTATCAATGTGCTGGGCTCTAGAAGCTAAACACTGTATATCAAGTTACCTTTCTACCTCAGCTCTGAAGGTCATGAAATGAAGGGAGGGACATAGGCTTTAAACATATCTTTTTGAGCCGGGCGGTGACAGCACACACCTTCAATCCTAGCACTTGGGAGGCAGAGGCAGGTGGATCTCTGTGAGTTTGAGGCTAGCCTGTTCTACAGAGCGAGTTCCAAGACAACCAGGGCTATAACATAGAGAAACCCTGTCTCAACAACTCTGACCCCTATAAAAGCACAACATACCTTTTTGGGAACTGCAAGTAGTTAAAATTCCACCCCTTGGCAGCCATCATATTAGATAGTCGGTAGATGTCAAAATCATGGGAGCCCAGAGCAATAACTGACAGTTGAGGATCCCCAAAAATGAAGATGTTTTTGGTGTTTTCTAGTCTAAAAATAAGCACATGAAAAAAAAAAAAAAAAAGTTGAGCTATAACCAACACTCTGGTCCTTATCTCAGTTGATGAACACAACCTACTCTCCTGGGATTTTAGTCTTCTCTTCTACACCAGAGGCCAGGCTGGGATGGGTGATTCTTACAGAGATCAAAATCCCAGACAGAATATTAGAAATGTTCCAAGGCCGTAACTCTGTCCAAAACCACTGGCTTCTCCCAAGTCATAACACAGACTACAAGTATACCCTCCCCCTAAGTACCATCGAGTAAGGTGCTAGCCTAAACCCGAGTTTCTCAGGAGGCAGTAAGTAAAGTATAGGCGCCCAGGTACAGAGATGCCTTGGGCCAACTAGGACAAAGAGCAAGAGACAAAGCAGAACCCCATTCCCCACACATACTCTGACTTGAGGAAGCGAGCAGTTTTGATGATCTGTTTGGTAGCTTCAACATAGCCGTTCTCACCAAAGTGCATCAAGGTGGCCCAACAGGCTGCAATGATGCCACCAGGCCGTGAGCCAGCCATGCTTGGAGATGCATAAATGCCACCTTGCCAATCTGCACCAACAAAGAACTGGTACCTCCTGTATTTCTCGTCAGAGTACAACACCACTGATGAACCTTTGGGAGCATAGCCGTACTGAGGGAAGAAGCAAAGAGGTCAAGCGTGTGATTGTGTCTGACAACTCTATCCACACTGCCACACACAGTAAAGCCTATTTTCTCATGGGCGCTCTGTGATGCTTCCCACTCAGGTAAGGTTCATATTTAACAGTGTTAACAGGGAGAAGGAACTAGAAGGAAGGGTTCCACATTCTCTTTGTTAGGGGGTGAAGAATCTGAGATCCAAGAAAAAAATAAGACTCGGTTTCCTCCACTTCTGACTCAGCCTTTGGTTTTCCTTACTTAAAATCTTTCTCTGGAAGCCTGAACACACCTACAGTTCCAGCACTTGGGAGGTGGAGGGAGAAGAATCAGGAATTTAAGGCCATCTTTGACTACATAGTTTCAAGCCAGCCAGGACTATATAAATACCTTGTCTTAACAACAAAACAAAAAAACTTCCTGAGACAGCATGTAAGTATGAAAACAAGGATAAATTTCCAGTAAAAGCCAGGAAAAGATATGGAACCCAAGTCACTTGGAAGCTCAAATTATTATCTGATCTGTTCTCATCTCTTTTGCTAAACATTACACTTTTTTTCAAAGAATGTACTGGGTGTTCCAAACTTGAAAGACACTCGATTCCTCCTAGTGAACTCTTACCACAGCTGGTGCAAGTTTCATTCCTAGACCCACAATGGACAGTTAAAGGGGAAAAAGAGACAGGAGTTGTCTGGATGGTAAAGCAGACAGACTGTAATTAAAATTTTATTGTAGACCATTAAGAGTGTGAAAAACAAGTCTTCACTATGATGTAGCTTAAAACAATCTCTAGAAATATAATCAAAACAAGGTACACATCCCTAAAGCCATTAAGATTTTTTCTACATCTGGATATACTTCCAAGAATTGCCAACTAAGATGGATTTCATCTCAATCTACCAAGGGTATCGAGCAAACAGTGTAAACCAGTTGCTCCTGAACACAAAGGTTTATTTTCTTAAAGGGAGGCTCAGGAACTCCAGGATCAATCCTCACCATCTTCAATAACCGCAAGACTTCAGAGATTTTGGCACAACTGACTGTATATAGTTGACAGAGAAATCCTTAGCCCAGGATGAGCAAAGGCAGGAGTTCCTTTTTCCCAGAACTTGTACCCTCCACACTGTAACCAACACCTGACAGCTAACCTGATGACAGACAAAAGTCAAATTTTATTTTGTAAGTTGGTCCGTGTGGTAGTTTGAATGAAAATGACCCCAGAGCCTCATAGGGCACTATAGGGAGGTGTAGCCTTCTTGGAATAGGTGTGATGTTGTTGAGGTAGCATGTCACTGGGGGTGGGGGTTGAGATCTTAGATGCTCAAACCAGGTCTAGTGTGACATTCTCTTTCTGTTGCCTGCAGATTCAGATGTCGAGCTCTCAGCTATCTCTCTAGCACCATATCTGCCTGCATGCCATCATGCTTCTCACCATGATAATGGAGTAAACTTCTCAACTGTAGGCCAGCCTCAATTACATGTTTCCCTTCATAAGAGTTGCTGTGGTCATGGTGTCTCTTCACAGCAATAGAAACCCAAACTAAGATAGTATGTGTGTGGAAAGACTAATGTTTCAGTCAACTCTTTTTTTTGTGGAGAATAGCTAAAATCACCAAGTGTTAGCAATTGGTCACTTCCGTAGCTCACCTTATGAGTATCTGCTGAAATGCTGGTCACGCCTTTCACCCGGAAATCAAACGGTTTCTTCAGTGGGTACCCTGCTTTCTCCATGAAAACAATGAGGAAGCCCCCCAGACAAGCATCCACATGAAAAGGGATTTTATATTTGACAGCCAGCTAGTTAAAAAAGAACACGTGAGAATATAAGTAAATGCTTAGCAGAATATGGGTGGAAGCATGGGCTACTCTGAACTACATCCCATAGAAAGTGGCTATATATTTACATATTTGAAGACACTGTTTCATGTATCCTAGCCTGGTCTTGAATGTGATACTTAGCCCATGGAAAAACCTTCAACTTTTCCGATCCTTCTGCCTGAGATGACCAGCATATGGTCCCATGCCCAGTTCTATGGGGTGCTGAAGATCAAAGTCAGGACTTCATACTAACCAACTGATCCATAATCCCAGACCCCAAGTGGTTGCTTTTAATATTTTTAAATGAAGTTTATTTTTAATGTATGTTTAGTCTTCAAAAGAGTTCATCTGAAATATATTTCATGTAATTTGTAATTAAATATGCCTTGACCTCAAGTTGTCCCTACCATCATGTGAGAAAATAGCAGAGCTCTGATTTAATAGCCTCTAGAGGGGAAGGTCTTACTTCAGTCATTATGTGGTGGCCACGCTCCTAATGGCAGACAACTTCCTGGTAGGAATCTAAGAGTCACAGGCTCCCAAAGAAAGTGCAGGGGTTTGAGCGCTAGCAATCCCTGCTGTGTTCAAATCTAAAATCAGAATGCCTTCTCTTCACAAAGCCCTGCATGATCACATCTATTTCAAGTACTAATCGGCATAGCCCCAATTTCTCACCTTGGCCACTTCAGGGATAGGATCTATCACACCATGAGGAAACTGTGGGGCAGAACAGACCAGCATAGCTGTGTTCCTGGAGATGGCTCTTCTCATTGCCTAGGGATTGAAAGGTTAAGAGAAGAATCTTAGTCTTTTGCTGTAAGGACAATAGGGACCACTGGCTCAGAGTCCAGGTTCATAAGTGCCTCCTCTGTCCTGCACCCTGGGAAGACTTCCTTCCGCTGCGAAGGTTGCACACCAGTCCACATGGAAATACTGAGAGCAATGCAACCACTATGGAAACAGAAACAATACTGAGCTAGGAGGTAAAGGAGCCAACTGTGCATCCCAGCCCCACAATCTACCAGTGATGATTTAGTAAAACCTGACTTGCAATAAATGAAAAGTTCCTCCTCACATAAACATGTTCAGGTCTATGAAAGGAATGTCGGGGCAAGTTCACCCATGCTCACTTTACAAATAAAGCAAAGAAAGTAAAGGTGTTGCAAGTAAAATCTGTCTCTCCACCATCAGGGACCAGATCAACCACCTCTTAGCATTCAGAAATCTAGCTGTCTGTCATACTGCTGGTCTCAAGTTTCTGCTCTGGCTGCTCTAGTCTGAGCAGGGAAGTCCATCTATGTGGTGTAGCTAGAGAGGTGGTCAGTGTGACAATCTGCCCCTTAAACCTTCAGAGGACTCACCCGCACATCCACCTCCATGTTCTTGTCCTGTGCAACACGTACAATCTTCATTCCAAAATAATGAGCTGCTTTGTCAAATGCGGCATGGGCACTCTGAGGAGCCACACTAGGCAATGGGGGAAAGGGGGGTCAATGAAATGTAGAGCACAACAGGATCCAGGAGAACACTGCAGCAACTCAAGTCACCAGTTAAAACCTCTCATTACTTTCCCTCACATTCTTATGTTTGTAATCTCTTGGTATAAACAAAAAGAGCCAGCTGTGTTGATTTTCTGCAGACAATTTCTTCCTACTATTTAGGACTTGAAAAACTAAACTCTGTCTCTCCTACATGGTTAGTTAGTTTTCCAATAATGTTCAAAGAGAAAACAGTCACAGATACATATTTGCTCCCAGATATCCCCATTACTCTACTCTCGCCATTACCGATCCCTTTAAGTGAGAAAAATTTCTACAATAACTTCGTGGCAAGCACCAAATGTTTATATGTAAAGATGATGATGGAAAAAGATGCCATTCTCGATAACAGTGTCCACTGTGTTTAAGCTCGTATCACCAACTGCTCCATTAAGGAGACTACTGGATGTGAAGGGATAAGGTAGAGGGGCTGGGCAGGGGAGAGAAGGTTGGCATTGTAGGAGGGAAAAGAGGCAGAAAAACAGATTCGGCTTAGCTGACATCACACTGCCCTAAACAGATAATATCAGAGGGGAAGCAGACAGACACATATACATACATTTCTGGAGTTTTGATCCCCTTCTCTAAGGCCAAGTCTCGATAAGCCTTGCAAGCCATCAGGATGCTTTCTGTGCCCCCAGAAGTCACCTACATATAGAAAAATAACTGGGAGTAAGTTAAGGGTAGGGATCAAGAGGTACAGCTCGCTGTGACCTTAAAAATGTTGGATGCAGAAACAGACAAGGGAGTGGACACTGCTGCAGAGCAGATACTGTCCAGAAGGACAGTGCTGGTCAGAGACAACAGAGGTTACACAGTGTGCCAGTGTCCAGTAACTAACACTTCTAAAACCTAACCTGATGTTCAGTAAAAATCCTATTAGTATTATCTGAGCTTGAATGATTTCTCAACAAACTGAAGGTTACTGCACTGCACTAGAAGGATTTCATCTTAGACTCAGCATCTGTGAAAAGTCATACACTCTTGGGTAAGCAAGTCATTCAGTGTTACTCATTATATCAGTTGATAAGAAGTAAAACTTTCTGTATTTTGGATTATATACTAATTATAGCTAAAATGAAGAATGATTATTAAACTTTCCTAACATCTACATACAAGATAAAAATACCATTGGGGATAGAATCCCAGTGGCCAAGAGTCATGAAGAAGAATAACTCAGAAAATTACTTTTTTTTGACTCAGGAAGCCTTTCAGGAAACATGTGACCATCCTCCCTAAAATAGCTCATAGAATCTGAACACAGATCCCGTGTTTGTACATCTCTATGCTGGAGAAGACAGACTATTAATAGTTAATTCTACAAATCAGCAACAACACCCTGTGGTCTAGCTAAAGCCTCAAACTTGTCACATGAGATACCAAGACAGCTGTGTGGCAAGTGAGGAAAGTACCAGGCCTTACACATTTACAAGCCTGACAATGACCTAAACAAAAACATTTCCTAATTCCTAGTCATCTACATCATGTGTCCTGTCCTCAGGGCAGATATTTAATTATAAATTAAGAAAACAGAGGTCACAAGTCACCTGTGTAAATCAACTTCTTTCAAAATATATAAAATGCACTCCAAGGTATGTGTTTAAGAACACAAAACATTTTCTTGCAGATACAGCTAAACAAGGTGGCAAGCTAATCTGATTTTTTAGTATGTGAATTTGTGAATGAGGTAAATGAAGCTAATATAGGGAAAGGTATTTTGAAGAAGGGTATTTTGAAGCAGAAGAAAAAAGGGCTGAGAAGTGTTTAAGACCCACACAGCTAGGTTCAGTCTACAGATTTCCCTTTAATTTGGCCTAGCTTTCTTCTCTCAACAGTGAACCCCTTTTTACCCAAAACAGCTCACCGAGAGACACACAGAAAGAAGCAAAAAAAAAAAAAAAAGAGAGACTAAGGGGAGGGAGAGAGGGAAACAAGGAAAGCGTCCTATTGAAGTCTAATCACAAGAAGAGACTGGGAACTGGACATCACCCTTTTCCCCGGTCCCCACCACACCACTAAAGAGGATAACTGGAGAGAGACAAGGTTAACTGCAGCACTATGACAGGGTTGTATTTCTGTATTAGTATGAAAGACTGATTATTTATTACCCGAAAGAAGTGAGAAAGGAAACAACAATAACAGCAATAACCAAGGGCTCTGCAATAATCACTCCCAAATAAGGAAAGAGAAATCTATGTAACAAATTTCAAACACTGGCAAAGAAAAAGCAGCATACTACAGACACAGAGATAGAACCAAATGGTGCTGAGTCTACCCTGAAAATCAGGGAAGTCAGCAAAGTCTGGGAAAGTCTCATGACCCTAAGCAACTTTCCTAACAAAAAAATTGACAAAGCATCAAAATTTATATCCATCACTGAACTAACATTAAGAACTAGCTAAACCCTAAAACAAAGCACAACCCAACTTTCTGGCCAAAGCCAGATCTTCTCCTCAAACCCCTGGTATCTCGACCAGGGGTTTGGGGTTTGCCCAAGGCCACAGAGCAACAGGAGACTACAGAAAACCCCAAACTCCTCTTTGTACAACAAAGAAACCTCATTGTGTGGAAGAAATGTGACACTGGGGTTAAGAAAAGCACTTTAAGAAAAAATGCTGAAAAAGCTAACACACCTACAATCACAGCACTAGGGAGAAGAAGGCAGGAGGTCAGGAGTTCAAGGTTAACCTCAGCTACAAAGCAGGTTCAAGGCCAGCCTGGGCTATGAGACTCTATTTCAAAATATCAAAAAGAAATGGGTGGGGTGGGTAGGTAAATAGCAATTAATAGGTATGTGGACGAGTACATGAAAAGAGAAGGAGAAAATAGCCAAGTAGAGAGATGTGACAAAGTATCTGGTAAACCCACACTGTTCTTTTAAACCGTCCTAACAACTTTATATATATAGGCTTAAAGATTTTTAAAAATATCGAATCGAAGAGGAAAAAATACCTAGAATATATACCAAAATGATACTTGGGATTTCAAAAGTACAAGTTAACATTTTAAAATTGCACTTCCTCTAGATCATTCTATAATAAAAATAATAATCGTACAATAGACTATTTTAAAATTTCTATTACAAGCCACTTACACATCCACAGGAATCTGGTCCCCCATTGAAGAGGGAACAAGCCATCCTTACAATTTCTGCCTCTAACTTGCGAAGTCCAGGGAAGATATCTGGATGCAATGGATTGCTCCATGCAAACTCTCCATAAGCCTACAAAGAAATGCAAAGATAATATAAGATACATTAAATCAGGCAAGAAATGATGCACTGAGTAAAGTTTTCAGGTATTAGGTTCAACAGAGAGAACAGGAAAAAGGGTATGAACTATTCCCCAACTTAAAGATCAAAATATAATGGAAGAGACAGACATATACACAAGTAATTTTACATGTGATAAAGAAGAAACAGAAATGCAGTTAAAAGTACTAAACTGTGCCAGGTGGTGGTGGTACTTGGCTTTAATACCAACATCTAGGAGGCAAAGGCAGGCAGATCTACAGAGTGAGTTCCAGGATAGCCAGAGATAAACAGAGAAACTCTGTCTAGAAACTATCCCCTCCCAAAAATGTATTAAACTGTAACACCAACAGATTACCTATCTTGAAGTCATACAGCTCTGCCTAAAATTTTTAGCTATACAGGTCAAATAAGACCCTCTGAGGCTCAGTCTCCTCATACGCAAACAGGGAAAATGAACATGAAAACAATGAAACATGAAAAGCAATGACAGTTTGTTGAGTATCTGTATGTACTAAGAGACCCTGGTGAGGGAATTGCTAACATCCTGAGTGCTCTAGAGGTATTTGACCACAGGAACACCAAGAGACAATGGAAATCCATCACATGGACAGGAAGGAAAGAAAAGTGGAAGAGAAGACACACGTGTACACAGAAGGTATCAGGGATGACTGAAATAAGCAGGAGTTGTACTGTAAAGAGACACATCGTTCCTACCACATGAGAAGTTGAGCCTCACCTACAGAAATGCAAAGTTAAAACACAGAACTACAACCAGGATATTATGCCACAATATAACTAAGTAAAACTTCTAACACTCAGCCAGGCCTGAGAGATCACAACTTTAACTATAATTTCATATAAGAAGTAGCTTGATTACAAATGGAAAAAGCTACAAGCCAGTCTAAAGTCAGGATCATCTTGTGGGGTATGCTTTGAGAGCATTAGGATAGAGCAGCCTTGTCCTGACTCCCATCAAACAACATCGGTTCTAGCAAGAAAAATTTCAAATGAAGTCCAGCATAGTGGAACAGACCTTCAGTCCCAGCAGCTGGAAGGCAGAGGCAGTAGGATCTCTGTGAGTTTGAAGCAGCCTGGTCTATATAAATAGTTCAAGGACAGCCAGGGCTATACAGAGACCCTGTCTCAACAAATAAAAACAGTGTCCTCAAATGGCAGGCTCTTTCATTAGAAATATAGCTTCCTCAGAGAACCTAGTAAAGTCCAGAGATATAAATGACATTTTATCTATTCACAGTCTGAAGATGCATTTGACATTATTATGCACTCACCTGTTTGTGTGAAAAGAAGCTTCTAAACTGATATGGTTTTATTTCAACAGTAAACTTCCCTTACATGGTAATATTGCTATTACTGTTATTGTCATTATTATTATCACAAAAAGGAAATTAAATAGTTAAATGAACTAGGAATGGCACCTATGCACACAAGCACCCAGTGTTTACCTGAACCAGCAGCTCTGTGAGTTTCTGTTCCCCACTGTACACAGCTCCTGAGGCTTTCCCTTCTTGCCAGAAGATATCTGCAGAAAAAGTCAAGTGTCCCTCAGTCAGCAAGCAGGCATCGCTGAGAAGACAGGCATTAATATAAACAGGACAGGCAAAACCTTCAGTGCATACGGGTAAAAAAAATTCAGAAACCAGACATATGGCTCAGCACTTAAAAATATGTATTCTCTTGCAGAGAACCAGAGTGTGGATCCCAGTACCCACATCAAGCAACTCACAACTTCCTGTATCTCCAGTTCTAGGTGATCCAATGCCCTCTCCTAGCTTCTGTGGGGTTCTGCACTCAAGTATATATATTCCCACACAGACACACACACCCATACATAGAATTAAAAATACGTATTTTTAGAAAGTGTAAAAGAATAAGTTGAGTAGAAATTTATGCTATTCTTATATTAAAAACAAAAGAATTTCAATAATGATTTACCACAGCAAAATAGAGACGAAAGGTCACTCATTAATTGTGGGAAAAGATAGGAACGGCATCAAGGTATAATGTTGATAGTAGTGTTGTCCTCACCTAACAGCTACATCCTCTTAACATAAAAGCTGCCCTCTGCCTCCATGTATTTCCTGTTCTCCATATGACCCTTTCCTGTAGTAGCGTTCCCACCCCCTCATTTCCCCATGCAGTCACAGGAAGTGTAGGAACTGCTATAAGCAAATGTACAGGTAAAGCCCTTCTTCCCACAGTCACGTGTAGCTCCAATTTGACTTTATTCTTCTCTTACAGGATATGGCTGTGTACCACACATGCCACCATATTTAAACATAGACAGGATGCATGGTTTCACACACTGCTCTTTAACTATTTCAAAGAATATGGAAGTGTTATGACATAAGAAACAAGGAAGGAAGATAGCAACGTGCCCTGAAAAACATGGAAATATAGACAATGCAGGTCCCAGGGTTGCTAACTCCTGTTCCAGATCATCTCATCTTAGACCAGGAGTGCTCAACCTTTTAACGTTATAATATGGCACTGTCATCTACATACATGTTGAGCCTCATTTACAACTATGTTGGGAAACATATTTCTGTGGGCTACAGGTTGGACATACTTGCCTCAGACCATATGTAATTCTGTACCATACATCAAAAAATCTACATATATCAATTAGAAACTTTAATGGCTGTTTTGTCAAAATGCAATTTGAATTGGGCCCCAAAATAGAAAAATGAATATGAGTAGAAAAAATGATTAAATAGAATTTGTTCCTAGTTCATAGTGCTATACTAGTGTTATTTTTCTACTTCTGACAAATGTAATGTGCTTTACAATTAGGGTGAGGAGCACACAGGAAATTGCTATACCACTTTTGCTACTTGTTTGTAAATTTAAAATGTCAAACTAAAAACCTTGTTTAAATGATGTTGCCCAGTTGGTAAGCACTTGATTGGCATGCCCTAAGCCATAGGTTCAGTGCTAGCACTGCATAAACTGGGCACAGTGACAAATCTGACAATCCAAGCTCATGGGAAGCGGTAACAAGAAGATCAAATATTCAAGGACATCCTCAGATCTATTAAGACCCTGTTTCAAAAACCAAGAGGCTTACGTTAAGTCTCACCTCCAACAGACATGTATGTGTTTATGTTAATAACAGCAGCAGTAATACTTAAGACTTATTGGACAACTAATATATGACATATGCCAGGTCCTACATGTTTCCATGTATGAGTTCCTTTACTCTCTTATTCCAACTCCTAGGGAAGTAGAGACTGAAAGGATAAGCTGGAGCACACAGAAGGGAAATATCTCTCCCAAGGTCATAGTAAAGTTGAAAATCCAGGCATTTGTGAACCTGAGTGGTTCTCAGGCTATGCTTCTGAACATGAGTATATGTTCTTGAACATGGTATGTGCCAATGCATATAGAAGACCAATACACACTTGTATAGCTCAATAGGTGTAAACAAACACACCCATACAGGTCATTGTCCATTCCTCTATCCACCTACCTATTTTTTTCTTTTTTTTTTTCAATTAATTTTTAAAAATTTTTATGTTGTGGGTATTCTGCCTGCATATATGTCTGTGCACCCATGTGCATGCCTCATGCCAAGGAGGCCAGAAGACAGAACTGGATACACTGGAACTAGAGTTATAGATAGTTATGAGCCACCAGGAGGGTGCTGGGAACTGAACCCCAGGCCTCTGGAAGAGCAGCCAGTGCTCTTAAGCACTAAACCATCTCTCTAGCCCCTGCCTACCTATCTCTATCATCTGCATTCAACATTTTTGATTTTTAAAATGTTCCTTATTTTTTGAAAAAGTATCTATATAAGCCCTAGCTGGCCTGGGCTGGTCTTGGGCTTGCAGAATCCTCTTATCTCAACCTCATAAATACTGGAATTACGGGCAAGCCACACCCAGCTCTGTGCTCATTTTTATAGCAAATGTTTTTAGTAATCTAGTGTGCCTTGAAACAGGTATCATAATTCTGACAGAAATCTTATTTAATCTGTAATATGAAACCTGGTCTTTAAAGTAGGGAATGGCTCCTCCAGTAATGTGATCCTTGACCTATTGTCAACATTGGCCAATGACAAGGACAGAGGCAGCACCCCTGGGCCAAGTCTTACCCATGGAACTGTACTCCTTGAGTTTCTCTAGAACCTCAGCTGTGCTCAGGCCCTGAGCAGGTAGAGTTTTCACATACTCTTTATCCATCTTCAGGAACGGCATGTGCTTGACAACATCCTTCTTAGTCTTATTCAACTGTTCTTCGATCTTCAAGGATAAAGAAAAAAAGTTAACTAGAAGGTAAAAAAGAGTGAAGTACAGAGTGGAAAGGCTGTCTCTGAGATCCAGCCAACTGCCCAACACCAGGGACTGCATAGGTGCTACGAAATTAGAAGGGATTTATCTTTTTTTTAAAAAGGAAAAAGAACATTGTATCTGTTTAGCCAGCCAGTGTGTACAATGCCTTTTCCAAGTTTAAAAAGCCAGCTTTCCTTCTAGAAACCAAAGATGCATTACATCTTCCCCTTTGCCTGCTGTGATGACTTCACCAACTCTGTACTGCACTTGGTCTGAACTGGCTTCAGTCAGCACTAGCCTGAGTGCAGAAACATTAGGCCTTTGTTGCTGTGTTGTCAACAGCAACACTATAGACAGACAGTCATAAAACAGACCAAGTTACAGTAAAAGGGGATCTTAGCTGTTTTTCAATTTGTGAATAACTTCAACAGACACCTACAAAGTACCCCAAGTATAGAGATCCACAAAGTTCCCAAGGTACCCACACAGACCTAAGAATTGCCTCAATGAAGTTGCTATGGGCAGCTTGACCCTTCTGACTCAGAAATGCTAGGAGGAATCAAGGTCCTTTCTGCCATGTAATTTATCAACTATGAATCTTTCCCATCCTCATAGCTACACTCTCTGAGCCATTTCTTTCATTCATTTACTTACTCATTTGTGCAACAAATATCTGCTCAACTACTACTCCAGGCTAGGATACAGACATTGGGAAAAAAAAAAAAAAAAAAAAAAAAAAGATAGCCAGGAGATGGAGGTACACACCTTTAATCCCAGCCCTCAAGAGGCAGAGTGGATCTCTGAGTTTGAGGCTAGCCTGGTCTACAAAGTGAGTTCCAGGACAGCCAGAGCTGTTACACAGAGAAAACCTATCTTGAAAAATCAAAACAAAACCCAAACCAAAAGCAAACAAAACAAAAAAGCCTTCATCTCATGAAGCTTACTTTTAGCAAGAGAGACAAAAATCTACAAATGGGGTTCAGGAGAGAACAATAGCAAATTACACACAAAATGGCAGGAGCTGCTACTGTTGAGACTCCAGTGAAAAGTGTGGAGAGAAAGGCTATATGTTGCAATCAATCTATATGCTACAGTGCAGTGGCTTCAGCAATATAGTCAATAAAGTCTAATGCCAAAGCTCTCACACAAGCGTTCATTTTTCTCAGTCCTAGCCACGGATGATTAGAATATGGAGGGTCTTCTTACATGCAGCCCTAGTGAAGCCACAGGAAAGCTACTCCTTTAGAGCATGTCAGCACTGCAGGCAGCAGACAACTGGACAATGTTGAGGCATGCTATGGACACAGAGGCATTTTTTAAGTCATAAATAGAAGACCATGCTGCATGTACAGCAACCATACAACAAGAACAAACTATGAAAGCTGAATGCTCATGGATAGATCATACTATTTTAAGAAGGGAACCCCCCCAAAAAAAATCCCATTGGGAAGTATATTAAAAAGCACAGCAAGTTCTTTCCATTCCCAATTCTTGCATCCATTATAAAATTCATTTTTCATAAATTTGTAATTTTATATTCATATATAAATGTATATACTATATAAAATGTTATATTTAAACTTTTTATAAAATTATAAAATGTAAATGTTAGTTTGTTTGCTTTCTGTCTTTTCTACAAAAAGCAAGTTCCACAAGAGGAAGGACTTGCTGCTATACAACTAGCAAAACAGTAAAAAAAAACTAAGATTATGAAAATACACATGTGTACACATACAATAATTTCCTATCTCTAAGCCTCAGGAAACACTTCTGAAAAATGAAGGTACATGGCCTCTAAGGATCCTCAATTCTCTAATTTTATAAATTAAAGAATTCTGGAATCCTAGTATTTATTTATCTCAAAAATTTCAAGGAGCTAGGAACGCAGCTCAGCTGTAGAGTGCTTGCCTAGCATGTCCTAGGTCCCATGTTTGAAGACCATTAACCACTGCTGCCACCATCACTGCCACCTCTGCCTCTACCACACCACCACCACCACCACCACCACCAATGATACCGCCACTACCACCACTGACAATGATACCACCACTATTACTACCAAACCTCAACAAAGAGACATTTTACTGGCGCTCAGCAGTCAAGTGACTGCCTTGCAGTGGTAAGGTCCCAGATTCAACCCACAGTCCCACCACTACCATCACCAAAGAAAGAATGTTTCTCTGGGAATGCAGATCAGTAGCAGAAAGCTTGCCTTTTCTGTACGAGGTACCTGATTTGATTCCCAACACTGCAAAAATCAATCAATGAGTTAAATCAAATCATTCTTATAACTGAAGGAGAAGATGGAGACATTAAAATCACAAGGAATACTAAAGGGGAGTCCTTCTCTCACTTGTGACGCAGCCTATCTTTCACAGTAGCCTCCTTTGCCCCACTCTAGTAGACTCAAAGTCGAAGATGTAGGAAAACCTGAAAAAGTAATGCTGGGAAAAGCCAGAGGGACGTGAGACACTCAGAATTCACAGGTCTTTACATGTTGCAAGGAGTCTGTTTGGCTTATCTCCCCCTTGATAATGAGCCCAGCCCTGAGGAGAAATATTTTATCCCAGTGTGAGTGATAGCAAAGAGGACACAGTGAAGAGAGCACTGTACTGTAAAGAGGGGCAAAGAGCAAGAAGACAGTTGTTATCTCTCTTAAGTTTCCAACCCTGGAATCAGGGAGCTATTGCCAGGGCCTCCTGTTTTTTTGACTATAGTTTCCCTGGAACTGAAGGTTCATTCCTTACCTATCCTCTTCCTGGGACCAACAGAGTCAAGAATGTTTCCTGTCTGGTTTTTCACAGAAAATTTGCTAACCTGTGATCTAATTCCCAGATGAGTATATAAATTCAGTCCAGCCAAATACTATTCTAAAGCACAGTTAAAACTTCATTCAGTGGGGTTTTCTAATATCAAGTTGTTCCTTAACAGACTCTTCATCTCTCCTTTGGAGAAAGTGAGGTTTCTCAAAGGTGGCCTTTCCAACATCTTAAGGCAGATATACCTGCTATGGGGCCATCCATAGCATGCAGAAGTGTTTTACAGCCACCTAGCTTCCATCCATAGATGCCAGGAGCCTGCCAATGGAGTTGTTACAAACTAATCAGTTTTCAAACACTGTCAAATGCCCCATAAGTTTGGGGGACAAAAATCCCTCCTCTTCCTTGAGAATATTGATCCAGCAATAGGAAGAGGCATGCATGCCAAACAGGGAAGACCCACACAGACTGTACCTACCTTGCGTCCAATATATGGCATCTTCCTTATTAGCTTAAATAATTTCTTTTTAAACCGTGACCACAAACCTACAAGAAACAAATAGTTCTTTAATCCCATGAAATTCCATGGATATAACCTACTGTCAACAGACAACAACCATTCAGTTGTTTCTTACCACCTCACTTCCTCCAGAGGGAAAGTTTAACTTTTAAGTAACATATTCATGTGATAATGTTTCTTCACCCTCATTTCCTTCCACCCATACCTCATCCAGCCCTTACATAAGCCCTTTGTTTCCAGCATACACTTCTAAAATTTGATGTATTGACCAGTATAGGAAAGAAAAAAATTCCCATTTATTTCTCTCTTTTCCTGAAGACGCAGTAGAGCCTACTACTGTACTACTTATTTTGCCCTTAGAAATATTAAAAGACTACAATCCTTCACTCGTTCCTTTCTGTATATATAAGGTATGAGCAGACGTGTGCTGGTGCTCACCTGTGTGCCAGTGTACATAAATACATGCACCCATTATAGGAAAGTTGCATAATCCATTTAACCTTCTTACTACAGTACAAGGACACATTGGTAATTTTTGTTGTTACAAACCATGTTAAAAAATAAGTAATTTTTAATACACACCATGCCACACACGGTTAGGTGGCATATGCCTTTAATCTTAGTACGTGGAAGGGAGAGGCAGGCAGATCTCTGTAAGTTTGAGGCTAGAATGGTCTACAGAATGAGTTCCAGAACAGCCAGAGAAACCCTGTCTCAAAAAAAACAAAACAGACAAAATTCTTCTGGACCAGTGAGATGGCTCAGCAGGTAAATGCACTTGCTGTCTGACTACCTGAATTCAATCTTGGGAACCCACATAAAGGTAGAAAGTAGAAACTGACACCGGAGTTATCCTCTGACCATGTGTACTGTGGCACACATACACACATCACATATAGTCATATACATAAGTACACACCTCCATAAAGATTTTAAATTTCCTTCCTTCTGAGTGTAGTGGCACATGCTTTTAATACTAGCCTGGGAGGAGGCAGAGACAGGCAAACCTCTGTGAGTTTGAGGCTAGTCTGGTCTACATAGTGAGTTCTAGGCCAGTCAGGGCCACATGAAACCATGACTCTAAATAAACATATGAAGTGAAAATTCCTTTAATATATTTGGGGGATGGATGGACATGGCACTTGTGGAAGTCAGGACACATTGAGAGTTTCTTCTTTGCTGTTCACTGCAGGGTACACAGGTAGGCTAGCCTGTGGACTTCCAAGGATTCTCCTGTCTTTACCTCCTGTTTTGCCATAGGAGTACTGAGACACATGGTACTGCACCCTCCTTTTTACATGTGTACTAGAAACTCAAACTCAGATAGCCAGGCTTGCACAGTAAATTTCTTTACCTGCAGAGCCATAATAAAAACCAATAGTACACAGGAGTAAACTATGAGCTCATATTCCCCAGTCAGAATTAAGGAAGAACTGGCACCTCAGACAGTTTGCTAACCCCACCCCAAGTTCTCACCTCTCCTGACTTCTACCGTATGCTCCAGAATTACCTTCACTACACTCAGGAGGAGATCAGAGTTTAAAGGTCAGTCAGATTTAACACTAGGCTAGATTTCAGATTTTCAAGCACACTACACTAAGAATAACTTGACTGTTCTACTATGTAGCACATTCCACTATTATCAAGGGGATAAAGCCAATGCCATAATTCCATCAAAATGATATCTAACCCATTCATCCATCCTTCCTTTGAAGACAGGGTCTCACTCTATAGTTCAGGATAGCCTGGAATTTGCTATTTAGTCTAACAGCCACTCCCATCTGCAGATTCTCCTGCCTCAGCCTCCTGAGTGTTGAGATTTCAGGCATGAGCTACAATGTCTAGCTTTGGAGAAACACTCTTCATGTTCATGTTCATGTTCAACATTACTTTTTGAAGTTACAAACCGGTATGGGTGTATGTGGCAAGCCAAATGAAACTGTCAATGTCCATCTAGTTTTAGCCTACAAAAACTCCATCTTTCTGCTTCAATCAAATTCAGATTAGAAATAGACAGACAGCTGCATGATGGTTAAGCTTGATTGTCAGCTCCTTTGTATCTGGAACATTTAAGAGACAAGCCTCTGTCTGGTCATTTCCAGGAAGGATTAGCTCAGGGAGAAGAACTCTCCCAGGGTGGGCCACAACTTCAGGAGCCCAAATATGATGCTTTTGCTGTCATCCTTCTCAGCCACTGGAACCTACTGTTTTTGGCCTTCCAAGGCAGACTAAGGCCAGTGACTCTCATGAGTCTTTTAGGCAGGCCTTGAGCACAAGATTGGGATTGCCAATAGACCCAGCTTCAGACTGAACAGCTTCTAGGGTCTCAGCCCTACAATGCCAAGGCAGTCATTATTGTACCTACTCAGTCTCTATCATGTATGCCAATCTAATGAATCTCTTTCATTTTATTTGTCGAGTTTCTCTAGGAACCCTGACTAATATATTGGTATTCTCCAATAACAAGATTTTAATTAGTCTCAGTGGCTTATCCACATTGTATAAATTCCCTACAATAAGTACAGATTCCTTTTCCAATGAAAATGCATATTAAAAGCTAAAATGGCTTGGAGTTGAACCCACAAAGATTTAAATAGCCTATCTTACTAATATGTTTTGGTAGTTTTCATATGGAACATTCAGGATCAGAAAGTAAGCAGCACCAGGACCCAAAATGTTTGTATTTCTGCTGTAAGTTCAGCAAAATGCATGGCTCAGGCAACTGACAACTAAAATATCTAACCACAGAAAACAAAGGTAATAAATGTTAACCAGATCAACTCAGTCATTATATAATGCATACACACTTCAAAACAGTATGTTGTACATAATATTTATAGTTAAATAAATTATAAGTAAAAATGTCAATGGCTCTAACTTTATGGTGGTTTTAAAATATACAATCTTAAAATGATAATGGTGATTTTTAGGGGTTAGGGGAAATAGGGGAAATAGGAAATGGGGACTTTCAACTTTTCTGGTTTTTGAGACAGGGCCAATATAGTCCAGCCTGACCTCAAACTTATAATCATCTTGCCTTAGTTTTCCAAGAGCTGGGAGTTCAAAGTTGAACCACCATGCATTCAGACTAAAGAGGAAATTATGAAGGTAGAGAATGCAAATGTGAATGCCACTAAACTGTATACTTTAAAATGACTAAAATGAGAGCCTGGAGTATAATTCAGTGGTAGAGATCCCAACAAGCTCCTTCCCAAGCCCTTTTTTAAAGTAACATAAGACATGAACATGGTGCATAGACACATAGGTAGTCAAAAATCCACACACATAAAATATAAAACAATTTTAAAGGGTAACATAGATGTATATGTACTATCACAGTAAAAAAGAAAAACAGCCAGCCATGGGGGTATGCAACTATAATCTCAGCATTCAGGAGGAACATTGCAAGCTACTAGCAAGTCTGGTCTACACAGTGAGACCCTGTGTAGACAACACAAGACATATGAGATGAAATGGGGGAGGGGAGAAGGGAGGAAAGAAGGAAAGCAGGAGGGAGGGAGGTAAGAGGGAGAGGGAGAGTTCATAAATAAATATGACGGGCTCCTTGCCACTAAATCAAACATTTCCTGGGTAAGGAGAACACCTGAATAGACAACTAAGGCTACAGCCACATGTAGACCCTGAGCTGAAATAGAAGGCCAGTCTCACCAACAGTATAAGAGAAAATCTAGTGAGGATGAGGAACAAACTGATGACAGTATTCTGGTGTTTTTTTGTTTTTGTTTTTTTCTTCAAGACAGGGTTTAACTAGTGTTTTAAAAACTGGCAGTGAGCTATTATAATTTTAGGCAGGACAGTCACGTCTCATCTCCACTTTAATTAAAAAGCCTAAAGCAGCAGAATTTGCCTCAGGCTGTCATGTTTTCCAACATTTATTTTTCTGTAACTTCAATGCTACTAAAATAGTTCAATGGCTGCATAATAAAAACATTTAAAAAACAAAACAAAAATGGGGGCTGGAGAGATGGCTCAGTGGTCGAGAGTACTGCCTGTTCTTTCAGAGGATCCAGCTTCAATCCCAGCACCCACGTGGCAGCTCTAGACTGTCTCTAACTCCAGTTCCAGGGGCTCTGACACCCTCACACAGACACACATGCACATAAAACTAATAAGATAAAAGCAATCTAGTTTCTAAACTGACTTTCCCAGGGAAATGGAAAGAACAAAGGCAGAAAAAGAACTGCCAGCACCTCCAGCAGATGGCATTAAGGAGGTAAATCAATGGAGAAATATCAAACAAATGAAAAATGGTTACATTTTCTTCAAAGTTATTTTTCCACCAAAGAAGTTACTCAAGAAGTTAATAAGTATGGGGTGAGCCCAAAGAGTGTTACAAAATACCCGCCAACATCTACTATTATAAATACAATCAAACAACTTCCCCAGCACAGCAGCCTGTGGGGAAAATAACTCACAGTCTTATAATGACAGTCACCTAGAGGTCTTGGCAGGGAAAAGATGGATGTGCAGGAAAGGCGCTTCCACCTTAGGAAGGTTGGGACATTTGCAAGCCACTGAAAGACAGCTCGTCCTCTGCAGCCCCTGAGAAATGGTGTTCTCCCCATGTCCCTCTGACAAGTCACTACCATTGTCCTTCGAGCCAAGTTACTACTTATGCAGATAATCCTAGGGCCCAACTGGCAGGAAGTGGCAGCTCTAGAGCACTGTTCCTAATCTTTAATGAAAAGGAAGGCCAAAAAGGAAAGCAACACATTTCTACTCTGGTAATCTCAAATAACACAATTATGTTCTAGGAAGAAACTGGTATTAGAAAGTGTGTAAGCTACACTCTGAGTCATCTGTGAATCTTTACAGTAACTATATCTAAGAAATTTTTATGTAAACTATAAATAAAAAAATCCACAATAGTTACCCAAAAGTACTAACAGAACTCCATAATTCATAAATCAGTCTATTTCCCATCTAAATAGATTTTAAAAGGCAGAACTAAACCAAGAGATGGTCCCAACCCATCAACCATGAGTGACACTCCAACCCACCCTTACACTAGGGGTAGTATACTTACTCTCTGGCTGGAAGATAAGCTCATACACCCAGACTATCAGCAGAGTACACAGGACACTCCATGCAATTAGCTGCCAGGGCTCGTATTTGGTGCAATACCCATTCACATAATTCTTGGCTTTTGTGGAATATGCTTCCAAAATCTCCAAGTAAGGCTCAAAGTCCTTCTAGAAATGTAAGAGGAAAAAGAGAAACATTACTAAACTCAGAGAAAGGGAGTCTTGTCTTGAATCCTCATTTTTCAAGAGCAAAGCTGTTGTTATTCATGATGTGGCTGCACTTCAGAAATAATCTTATCATCTTCTACAGTCCTCAAAGTTTCTACACCAGCTGCTCCCATCTAACAGTGCCACGTGGACTTTGATACAATTTTTGATCTGCTTATTTGGTAAAATAAGAGAACTAATCTCAAGCATGTCAGTGTTAATCACCTTTATCTCACTGCTAGTACTCTGGGACAGTTTCTCTCTTAAACCAGTTCTCAATGTGAGTGCCACTTTTCCTCTACTCTGTTTGAACTCTCCCCTTCTATGTGGATCCAGACTGTGAACGGATTCTGATACAGTTACTCACATCTGTGTGCTAGTGAGTGTGGCGGGGTCCCTACATGACTTAACTATATGTACCCTGAAATCAATTTCATATAATTCCCATATCACAGAAATATTTTTTTTAGCCAACAATCTGAAAATGTAAAAATCAAGCATGCAAAATGGTTCATGAAAACGATACCAGCACTCAGAGGTTGAAGCACTACCACAAGTTTGAGGCCAGCCTGGACTACACAATCAGACTCCTGAAGAAAAAAAAAAAAAGTAAAAAACATTCTTGGTTCATAGAGGCAGATTCAACTATGAGATTACTGTTGGCTAGTCCCTGCTCTAAAAACTCACTTATCGACTCTTGAAGTCTGGCACAATATTTAATTATCACCATATCCCACACAGTATCTGACATAAACAACAATGAAATCTCATCTGTAAACTTACCAGACTCAGTCAAAAATCTCTCTGAGATGGAACCTAGGACCTCCTTCATGCATGCCAGATCCCAGGTAAATATCCTACCACTGAGCAACATCCCAAGCCCTTCTTAACTTTTAGTTTTGACATAGGGGATGACTAAGTTGCCAGGCTAGTCTTGAAGTCACGTAATAGGTAAAGCAGTTCTCAAACTTAAATACTCTTGCCTCAACCTCCCAAGCAGCTAGCCATTCACACTTAAAAATTCATCTCTAAATTTCTGTCAAGTATTAATTTGTGATAGGCTTACCACAACCTGCCTAGGAGTCTACTCTTCTATTTCTTATCTCTCTGACTACTATTTACTACTAGGCCATAGTGCCTTACAAAACTTAAGTTCGTTGGATACTTTGTTATTCACTCACTAACAGTTTTGGGGGGTTGGTTGGTTAGTTAATTGGTTGGTTTTTCCAGACAGGGTTTCTCTGTGTAACAGCTCTAGCTATCCTGGAACTTGATTTGTAGACCATGCTAGCCCAAATCCAGAGATTAAAGGCATGCACCACCACTACCAGGCTTACTCTCTAACATTTTTAAGGTGCTAAGCTAGTTCCTTGCCCCAGTAAAGGGAGATGTATCTGCATTATAAATTGTATTTTCTGGGTATCAGTGTTTTGCCTGCATGTATACCAGTATACCACATGCATGCCTGGCGCTAGAGGAAGTCAGAAGAAAACATGAGATCCTCGGGAACTGGAATTAGGCAAAAAAGCATGCCATACCTACAAAATCCCAGAATTTGGTAGGATGAGGCAGGCCAAGAGGTTGATGAATTTGAGTTCCAAGACAGCCAAGTATACATAGTGAAACCCTTTCTCAATAATTATATAATGATGATGATGATGATGACGATAGGCTTACTTAGGCTTAGAGAAAATAGCATGAAAAGGTAAAATTATAAATCAATAAGATGTTTTAGTAAATTAAGTAGATGGTATCTACTAATATTGTAAATCTTTATCTATTCTGATTCAGAAACACCACTTTGGGGCTTCTATAGAGGTTTATTATGGTCACAGAGAGAAATGTTCAAGTATGTTCTTTTCAATGTTCTTTGTAACAGTACAAGAAAAATTCAAGAAATGTAGATGTCCACAGACAGAGAAATGGTTAAACTAGAACACATTTTATGTATCCATGTTGAAAATAAAGATCTTTTTATAAAGAAAAATTTATGGAAAATCATATTGAGTAAAAGGAAACAAATCAGTAAAAAGAACAGATGTAAATTGTTGAATATGAAAGTAATTTTTTGCTGAAAGATTATTTGGTGATGATGACTAGGAATGGACATCAGCAACAAATAGTTCAGTTGAGTGATTGCTAGAAAGGGAAAGAGACAAAGCAACAGGGTTTGTCCTTCTGTGATATAACACTGATAATGTTACATCAATTTGATAAAAAAAAAATATATATATATATACATTTTTGCTTTGTACTTCGTTTAAATGGAAAAAAAATGTGATTAGCTAGCTTCCTGCTCCTGCCACCATATTTCTGTACCTTCTCTCACCAAGATGGACTCTACCTCTCTGGAGTCATAACCCTTTACAAATGTTTCTCTCCTCGTTATTAAAACAAATGAAAAATTGGGGTTGTTTGTGCTTTGTTTTAAAGACAAGATCTCAACATTATAGCTCAGGCTATCCTAGAACCCACTACATGGCCTAGGATAGCCTTGAACTAGCAATAATCTTAATGCCACTATGTGCTGGGATCATAGATTTAAGCCATGCTACCCAGCTAGTAATTTGATGACATTTCTAAAGGTGCAGAAACTGGATTTAGTGACTGTCACAGTCAGCTTCAACTGTCAACCAGACACAGCTCAGTCATGCATGTAAGAAGGGAGTTTCAAATGAGGGATTGCTAGATCACACTGGCCTGTGGGCATGTCTGTGGGGGACTGCCTTGATTGTTAATTGGTATAGGAGGGCCCAGACCACTGTGGGTTTCACTATTACTCCCTGAGTAGGTGTTCTTGGACTGCATTAAGCCTGTGAGAAAACCAGCAAGCAACATTCCTCTTAGGTTTTTGCTTCAAGTTCAGGCCCTGACTCCCAACAACGATGTGACCTGGAAGTATAGGCCACATAAATTCTTTCCTTTCCTACGATACTTTTGGTCAATGTTTTGTCACAACAACAGAAACAATACTAGATAAAAAAAAAAAAAAAAAAAAAAAAAATTGGCTTTGAAAAACTATGGAGTGAGAATAGTACAAATAATTTCAAATTTTCAAGTTCAAGTTTGAGAGATAATTAAGTGGTTTAAAGCTGAAGAAGTACAAGATGCTTTAGAAAAATAGATGGTACTGGTTTGAGATCTCTTCCTCTTGGTTATCTACTATTGTTAAGAACACAAAATCTCACAAATACAGCAGATACTTAACACATCTTTCTTGAACCTACTATGGACTAAAAGCTTATATTCTACCATAAAATGTCTGCTGACATCAAACCCTCAAGCTAGCATTAACCTTTAGAGTTTATAAGATCATGGAGGAGGAACATCCATGAGTACAATTAGCTCCCTTACAAGAGACAGAGCGTGAACTTGCTCTTTCTAAGTGAGGTCACAGCAAATGGACACTGTCTAGGAACCCCTTGTATGAACTCTCTTCTGAGTGCCACCTTCTAGAAGTCCTCAACTTACATTGCCTAGACTTCCAGCCTCCAAAACTGTCAAAAAATAAATGAGGTTTTGTTGTTTATAAGCCACTGTTTAAGGCATTATGTTACAGCATGTACAGCAAATGTACTAAAACAATACCTTTAGTAATTGGACTAATAAAAGGCAATTAACATTAGGCAAGTTTTAGGTTCCCTGAGGGCTATCCATGGAAACAGCTTATCTACAACAAGTGGCCATTCCCCAGAGTTCACTGTTACTACAACACCTCAACTCTACAAAGCCACAGCAATTTCAGCAAAAAAATTGGGAAAGACCAGAGGAGTCTGTCACTATCAAAGGGATGCCATGATTTGTAGCAGAGGAGATATGGGTCAAAGCTGTGATCAAATCATATAGTTAAAATGCGTTATGAGTGGGGTTACTAATTACTAATTCACATAGAAATTACATGTTAACAATGTCAAAAGATATCATTGGATACTGATTCTTCACAGCACTGAATGAAAAATAACAGAACATTAGAGACAAAGCAAAGAACAGGAATTTAAAAACAAATACTCAAAAGCCTTAAAATTACAGTATGGAGACAGTCTTCATTAATTACAAAATTAAATTCAGCAAGAACATATTTTCTTGATGACTCTCAATTCTTCCGAGATCGGACGCGTTCAAGGTGGTATGGCCGTAGACAACTCTCAATTCTTTAAAAAAAAAAAATATTTTTAAATTTTGTGTGTGTGTGTGTGTGTGTGTGTGTGTGTGTGTGTGTGTGTGTGTGTGTGTGTGTATCTCTCCAAGTTACATGTGTTTGGAAACCACCCAATGTGGTGCTGGGAACTGAGCTAAGGTCTTCTATAAGAGCAGATCTTAGCCCTTGGTCATCTCTCTAGGCCCAAGTGTGTTGATTATCAGGAAGAGAACAGGAATCCTTGAATTCAGTTTCAACTGTAAACTCTCTATTTCAAAAAAAAAAAAAAACAGAATAATAACAAAGCAAAATGGTTCATGACAAGCTTTTTGTGTCGGCAATTAAGTAATCACAGAAATCACTTCTGGCTTCATCCAAATTACTTCTGGCTTCATCCTAAAGTCCTTTTTGGGTTACTACAAACAGTAGGCTCAGTTCCCAATGAAGAAGCACCTTACCACATCGACTGCTCATTGAATACTTCTTTGAAGTAACCTAGCATTAGCTCCTTGTAAAAAGGCAGCTCCTTTGGGTCTTGAAAGCAGTACAAACCCCAAGTTGGGTCCTGATGTAACACTCCAACACAAGGATCCAGGACCTAAAGGGAACCTTAGCGATCAAGTACAACATAAACATCCTCACTCTGTAAGCAGACAGAGGCCCTGTGGGTTTGAAATGATGTACTTCCAGTCCTACAGAAAGGTTTAGGACAGAATAGAAAGCCAGAAACCTAAGTTTCCTAATTCAGTATTCAGCCACTGCTTCTCTCTCTGTTGCTGTTGCAGTTCTGGGGACTGAGCCAAGGGCTTCTTGCATACCAGAT